CCCCGCTCCGAAGGGATTGCCAAACGTTTGGGCTGGGATCATCTGAAGGTTGTGTTTTGTTTTCCTTCCTTCCAGGGCTTTTGCCAGTGCCGCCACTCGCCATCGTGCCGGAGACGCAGCTCGGTGGGCAAGGAGGCCAGGCCGAACCTGGGCTTTTCTTTTTAAAGTCCTTGAGAAGAAAGCTCCAGCAGGTGAGGGGAGTCTGGCCTCTTGCTCCTGGCTGATCAGGATCCTGGGTTTTTTGGTTAATGTGAGTTCAAGCCGAGAAGGTGGACGGTGCGGGCAGCAAAGTCAAAGCTGTGGGGACATGAGGGGTTTGCAGATGTGTCTGACGGAGGCTTATGTCACCTAAACGGAGGGGCAGAGCATGTCTGCGCACCCCAGGAATGTCATTTGGGACTGAGGAACTGAGTCCTCAAGATTCACTGGCATTTTTAGACCTTGAAAGTTACATCTTAGACTACATATTTTTACTGCATGGTTAAATCAACTCAGCCCTTTCCCACAGCTCGGGACCAGGTTTTAAGCCATAAAGAGAGTGTGTGCGGTGCCCTCCTCTGCCAGGAGCTGTTTAAGTACCTGAGCGATTATTTGCCTGTTCCCAAGGGCTGAGTTGCGTAGTCCTGCAGGAAACAGCTATGGCGCTGAAAGCCCGAGCACTTTACAACTTCCAGAGTGAAAACAAAGAGGAGATCAGCATCCAGGAGAACGAGGAGCTGGTGATCTTCAGTGAAAACTCCCTGGATGGGTGGCTGCAGGGCAAGAACAGCCGAGGAGAGACTGGCCTCTTCCCTGCCTCTTACGTGGAGATCCTGCGGTCCAGGTCGAGCTCCAGTTATACGGACTATTCAAACAGCCCAGCTGGCTCTCCTGGACATGACTCCTCCTTCTATGTGCACCCTCCCAACACCAGCATCTCCAACCAGGGCAGCTTTGAGGACGACGACGACGATGATTGGGATGACTGGGACGATGGCTGCACGGTGGTGGAGGAGCCCAGTAGTGGCCCTGGCACCAATGGGCACCCCTCCCCTCACCTGCAGTACCCTGCAGTGTACCCCAGCCAGAACGCTGGCTATCGACCCAAGCCTGCCCTAGAGAGACAGGACAGCATAAGCTCCTCCAAGAGGGGCAGTGTGGTAGGGCGGAACCTCAACCGCTTCTCCTGTTTTGTCCGCTCGGGGGTGGAGGCCTTTATCCTAGGAGACGTGCCCCTTATGTCCAAGATTGCTGAGGCTTATTATATTGAGATGGGGTCCAAGGGCCCCCAATGGAGGGCCAATCCACACCCTTTCATCTGCTCTGTGGAAGACCCAACCAAGCAGACCAAATTCAAGGGCATCAAGAGCTACATCTCTTATAAGCTGACTCCCAGCAACATCACCACCCCAGTCTATCGGCGGTACAAGCACTTTGACTGGCTGTACAACCGCCTACTGCACAAGTTCACAGTGATCTCGGTGCCCCATTTGCCAGAGAAGCAGGCCACCGGGCGCTTTGAGGAGGACTTCATCGAGAAGCGCAAGCGGAGGCTGATCTTGTGGATGGACCACATGACCAGCCACCCCGTCCTCTCCCAGTATGAGGGCTTCCAGCACTTCCTCACCTGCCGTGATGACAAGCAATCTCTTCAGATCCCCACGGAGCACCAGGACCTGCAGGATGTTGAGGACCGTGTGGACTCCTTCAAGGCCTTCAGCAAGAAAATGGATGACAGTGTCCTGCAGCTGACCAATGTGGCCTCCGAGCTGGTCCGCAAGCATTTGGGAGGCTTCAGGAAGGAGTTCCAGAAGCTGGGCAATGCTTTCCAAGCCATCAGCCACTCCTTCCAGATGGACCCACCATACAGCTCGGATGCCCTCAACAATGCCATCTCCCACACAGGCAAGACATACGAGACTGTAGGGGAGATGTTCGCTGAGCAGCCCAAGAATGACCTTTTCCTCATGCTGGACACTCTCTCCTTATACCAGGGGCTACTTTCCAACTTTCCGGACATTATTCACCTCCAAAAAGGTAAGCCATGCTGAGATGCGGCTTTCTCAAAGGTTGCTGTGTAATAATGTAGCAAAACTTGTCCAGCCAAGCAGCTACCCAAGGCACTGACAACACTTGAGTTGTTTGGAGGTGGCCTTCTCCTAAACTTGGAGCAGGTTCGTTTTCTGTCCTTGCAGGTCAGGGAGTGGGAGTCAGGGGTGGATTCTGAAGACAGAAGTTTGTGTGATGATGGAAGGCCTGCTGTAGAGGATCTTAAGTTCTTAGCCTTTCTGGGGTGCTATGCCTTTCAAAGTGCTATGCGCCCATTAGTCAATACTCCCAGCTTCTCTGTGGCACCAGTATATGTCATTGCTCTAATTTTATAGCTGGAGAGCCTGAGACCCTAGAAGTTAGGGCCCAAGGCTTCAAAGTCAAGGTTTGTTCAGGCCTAATGACCCATCAGGCTGGCATAGGTAAGATACACCAGTCTCTATAGCCAATGGTTCCCAAGGGAATCATATAGTTAGCAGCACTTTTGACTACCTCTTTGCCTAAATGACCAGGGGCCCATTCACAACTGAGTTGACTAGAGGCAGCCTTCAGCCTGAGTCCAGAATGAGTCTTTGAATTCATGCCCCTGGAACCACATCAGGACACCTTAGCCGTTTTGCTGCCCTGCCCAGGCCAAGGTTTCCAAAGGGACCCCTAATTTTAGGTGTCTTAAGTCTTTGGGTTCTAGCTTCTGCTTTTCAGAGGTGCTGAGTCTCCCAGGTCCTTGCTGACTTGAATGAGATTAGGTTGAAAGCAAGGCCCAAGCAGACCCACAGAATTAGAGGACACTTTAGGGAATTTGGGCCTTGGTGATTTCCCCAGGACTGCATGGTAAATTAGCAGCAGAACTTGGGTGCTGCTATCCCCAGCCTTGTGTTTGTCCTCTTGGAATACACAGCCACTGAAGAGGCTGGCTGGGATCTCTGGGGCCAGGGAGAAGGCCAAAATCCTCCTTGCCAGTCAGCCAGAAGTGTGCCTGCCTAGTGCCCTTGCTACAGTTTCTGCCATACCACGTTACAGCCTGACATTTATCCCACTGTAGTGAGGAATCCAACATGGGTCTAATTTCCTTCCCTCCCACCCAAACTGAGAAGGGGAAGCCCACTGCATTTTGGGAGCTATGTGATCGGTTCTTTGCTCAGAAACGTGGCTCTGCCAGGGACTTTCCTGAGTGAGCACTGATAGGAATCGCCATATAACCCTGATCAGGCATGACTGCCTTCCAGAAGATAATGAGACATTAGTTAATTATGCTCTTCCTCACGGTTCAAGGACAAGAGTGAAATCCAGTGGTAGGCAAAACCTGTTTTCCCTGCCTGTGCAGAGTTGAAGGATGATGTGACACTATATACTTGGCTTGGTGAAGGCTAGTTTCTGAGGCAGGATCTCAGGACTCCTTTCCCTCTGCTCCAGTGCATGGCCTGAGGCAAGAAAGGTACCTTGGGTAGACAGGGACAGTCATTGTCACTTTGCTCTCAGCATGCCTTGGATGTGACCACACGCCTTCCAGGAAGGCCTTGGTGCTTTGCCTACCTCTCCTTGGAGAGCACCACAGCCCTCTTCAGAGAGCCCTAGCCTTTAGAATCTGTTCTGGAAAGTCAGTCATTGCCTATCAGTGCAGAGCCTGGATGGCCTTTTGGGCCACGGAGCTGGAGATACCTTGTTTCATCACAGCTGGGGAATGAAACACTAATCACAGCACCATGGTTTACTAATGAGGTGCTCATGGCGGCAGCAGAGCATGGGGCTTGCTGGAGCAGCAGGGTCCCGAGTGGACCCTGTACTCACCAAATACAGTGAGAGAGTGAGCTGCATCTGGGAACCCGCTGCTTGCGAATGTGTTTGCCCAGCAGTGGAAAGGTGAGTCCTGGAGAAAAGCCATCTCTTAATCGCAGAATCCAGGCTATTTGCCCCAGGCTCCTTCCTCTGGTCATGTCCGCCTAATGATCACGAGACATTTGAATGTTTTGAGGAGGGGAGGTGGCAGGGGAAGCTCCTGTGGTGTAGAGAAGGAGAGCCAGGATGGCCAGGTTTGAGGTGCCACAGACATGCTTCCCTTGCCCAGGTGAAAACGGCTGTTTTCCCCAAGTAATATGCGCCCAAGAGACTGTCTTTCTGTGGAGTTGTTCTCCCTCCTCCCCAGCCTGCTATTCACCTCCCAGGGGAGGAGGTAGGCAAGAGAATCCAGCTCTTATTTCTCTCCAGGGCAAATATTTTGTGACGGAAAGGTTTAGGCAACAGAGGCATGCAGTCAGGTGGTGTCTTACCATGCCACTGTGGGGAGGAAGTCAGGTGTGACGCACACAGACAGGCTGTGGCTTGTGGGTGGGTCCGGTTTAACTTGTCTCACTACCTTACCAGAAGGGTCTCAGTCACACCTGGCCTGCAAGTGACCAGGAAAATAGGCATGTTTTTTCGAGGGAGCGTCCTACTGAACTCCAAGCGCCATCTTCACATGGAGAAGTGGCTGCTTTGTGAGTAGCTCTTACTGCAGTGAAGGTCCTAGCTACTACTCCTTGGGTCAGGATGGTGGCATCTCCCCCTTGGGGTGCTGCTGGCACCACACAGAAGACCTAGGTAATGGCATTTATTTAGAAACAATCCTGCTCAAGTCCCACCCTGGTGTCACTCAGCTGCCTCTGCTGCTCTTGCTTCAGAGTGGAATTTAGCCCTGGAGAGTTCCTGTAGTTTTTTCCATTCTTTTTTTTTATAACACTAAGGAAATCCGTATGAATATGGGGCCAGAACCTGCCCAGAGTGAGACTGCTCGGGTGTAGCTGAGGGCGGGTTTTGGCTTAGAATGTCTTGTTTCCTAAGAGCTCCTCTGTTTCTGTTACATCTTACCAACCGGGAGCTATAATCCCCTGGTTGGGACAGCTGAGGGACTTCTACTTTCCCCTTCTGTGTTGTCACGCAGAGGGTGATAACCTCATAGCTGGAGTGCTCAGCAGGGGTGAAGAGAAACTGTCTGTGAGGAGAGATCCTGTGTTCATGCCAATGGTCCTGGTGCTAAAGAACGAGGGCAGAGGAATGCAGGAAACCCGCCAAGCTGAATTCTTTGTGAACAGAATTAAAGAAAAAAAAGAAAAATGTTTTGTATGAGTATTAGCCACGCTCTAAAGCCTTGTCTCCACCAGGGAGGCTTTGTCCTGGTGGAACCCAAGCTAGGCAGTTTCCAGCACCCTCAGTTGTAAATACTAACTTAGCCACACCACAGACACTCCTTCCTGGGCACGGTTCACTAGAGGGCTGATTCCGACCTTCAGACCCGTTCCTATCTCTGTGTCATTTTCTTTTGAGCCTTGTGGTAAGCCCTAGCCAAGAATAAATATTTGCAGAGGGCCAGCATTTGCACTGACAGTCATGTTAGGTCCTATTGAGGTGGGAGTTTATCATGAGTTGGTTAAGCTGGTGAAAAAGGTTGAGTGGCTGCGCTTGTTATCGTCTTAAGGAGGGTGATTTGGATATTGTTTAAATCAGTTAAGAACGCATTTGACCTAAGCTGAAATAAGTCCCTCTTAAATAGAAGGAGAAGGGTTTGCCCTGTGGTGTCCACTTGTTTCACGTAATCAGCTTGAAAACGGATGCGACTTTGCGCCCTCAGTTACTCTGGCACACAATTTTGGAAAAGGACTCAGTTCACACAGGCAAATTGGAGGTCAATTAGCTACAATGTGGCCTCTAAGATGGACAAAGTTTACAAGTCCTAGGAGTCAGAAAGGAAAAAGCTTTGTCTTTTAGTACAAGTCTTCAAGGCTAAAGTGAAATTGGAAGATTTGTATCTGCACAAGAAGGACCTGATTTTATTCCACCTGTTTAGGCACCAAAGTGGACTTAGAATCCTAAGTGCAATTCTGTTCCACCTCATTAATATATCTACTTGTGTGGCACGCTGTCACCTTAGTCTTAAGAATAAGCCACAAAAAAGCAAGAAGGAGGAAGGTGACTCGGGTACCCTTTGTATTACTCGTACAGGGTGGAATACAATCACACTTAGGCACGTAAGTCTACCTATGTACCTAATAGGTGGAATTCGTTCTGACCTGAAGGGTTTAGTTAGCCTGCAAGCTCTTTGGGACAGGGATTGCCAGTTGGCTGCATGTGCATACAGTACTTGGTGCCATGAGGCTTTCATCAGTCTCTAGGCACTGGTGTCATTTAAATAATGAATAACGCAGCCCCTTGTGAAGGCCCTCTGAACTTGGACATTAAGCACCATCACTCATCCTTGGCCTTTAAAATGAGACCTGCTTGAATTATTGCCAATAATGGCGTCATCCTCCTGGTTTGCATCTTGTGTATTTACCCCAATGCAAAGTGACAGTTGTGATGTGATAACACTTTGCACCTACCTTGTGCGAGGTATAAGGCATTGGAGTGGGGAGTCCCAGCTGTGAGAATGTGGCTGGTTAGTTTCTTACCCCTGGATTTCTCCAAATCTGTCTATTATTGGGGATGCTTCCATTGCCCTGCGCAAAGGCTTAGCTTGTTTCCCTTTGACCATTCACAGTGTACGATGGGTGAGCTAAGTCTCAGGGTGCTGATTCTGCCTCCCTGAGCAGAAGGACTAGTGTTTTTTTAAACAGATGGGCAGCAAATATCTCTCAGTGAAGGATCACGGGGTGTTCATGCACGCTCCTTTGTAGTATTCTCCCAGCTCTGATTAAAATAGAGGATTCAGTGGTAAATCACACTGAGTCTATGTTGTTGAGGAAGCCAAAAAAATTTGATGAGCCATAAGTGGCTCATTAGGCTAGAGTGGTTAATAAGCCATGGATTCTATAGCAAGCGGCATGCAAGGGAGTGATGTGGTTGGCATCATGTCTTTCTGTCCCTGACTCCCCAGTTCCCAGTGACTAGGTACCTTTTTGCAAATGGGTGGCCTTTGGCAGGAGTCTGGAGGATTTCACTATGACTAGACCAAATAAATCTTGCTGTGGGGGACGGACAAAAAAGTGCTTATGAGGATCTAAGGCTGTGGTTACTCT